ACTTCAGTCATGACGTTCAAAACCATTTCGGAAAAACACCAAGCTTTGCACTATAAGGTGCCCCAGGATCTGGCCCGTCTCTCTCCTCTTCTTTTCCCTTCTGTTCCCTCCTTCCCTGCCCCCACCCCCCGCCATCTTTTCTCTCTCTCTCTCTGATCTACTTTGGGCCATTCCACCCTCACTCTCTATGTACTAGCCTTTGCTCATTAATTCTTGTTTTCTGACTTATCTAAGCTCTGACCCCTTCTGGCCTTTTCTCACACCTGTTCCCACTGCCTGGAGCCCACTTCTCCCCACTCTTTACACACTGGCTCTTTTCAATCTTTTAGGGCTCAGCCTCAATATTACTCACTCAGAGAGGTAATTCCAGTCCACATTAATTTGAAAACCAGGTCCCACCTTTATGGTCGACTTCAGCTCCTTGCTTCAACATATGGGTCATCTGCTAGAACATAAAGTTCATCAAAGACAGTGACATTTTCTATCTTGATCATTGGTTTATTCTCAGTACTAAGCACTGTGAATATCTGTCATTATTTCTTTTTTCTGCATAGAATTCCTTCCCTTTTTTTCTGAAGGCAGAACCTGTCCTTCTGTGGGATACTCATTCCACATGGTTTAAGGGGACTAATCCTACCTTCCACTCCACGTCTGACTAATCCAGCCACAGAGACAGTTTAGGGAATGAATGTACACGGCGATCCCCAGAGAGCCAGTTAGCGTCCCTCCGTGAGACTTGCTATATGGCTGCCCAAAGAGTAAGTTCCATGCTACTCCAGGATCATAAACTATAAAAATGTTACAGAGGTGCGTTGACCACAACCATCTTGGTACCTTGAGGAGACAGAGAGAATGAACCTAAGCAGGGTTAGCAGGACCAGGACATGCAGAGACAGTATTATTCTCTTTGAACCCTTAAAATACCTACATTTCCCAGTATGCTAAGCTAAAAAAAAAAAAAAATCCCTTTTTTGACACAAATATGAGTGGAATTCCCATTATTTTTAACTGAAAGAGCTCTGGCATGTTTTCTGGAAGACAGTCGGTGCTCAAAAAATGTTTACCAAATGAATACATGAAAAGGCAGATCCACTCTTAATGTACTAACTAAACCTACAATTTCTAGGCTCAGAAGGCTAGGAACAGACATCAGACTGTGACACGTTCTCCATGAGGTCTCTTGGGAAGACTACCAACCAGGCAGCCTCCTTGACAATATGTCAAACTGTCCTGGCTTAGTGCCATTTCCAATACAAATGCCTGTGACATGACCCTCCATCATCAGCCTGAGAGCATCTCAAGTATAGGATCCTGCTTTATTCATGCCCAGCATCAGGCAATGGCTGCCATATTGGCACTCAAAATGCACTGAAGGAAAGCAAGGAAGAGCAGAGGTTTCATCACTGCCCATCCTGAAAGCTTTTGGTATAGCTTTGAAATAGCATCCAGGAGCTCATGTTTGCTATGACTACCTTGGAAAACAGGGAAGAGACAGCACATGGTATGAGCTCAGGGCTGAAGGTAGACTGCATCCAAATTGATCCTTTTACAGGGAGAAGACCAAGACAGCTACGGAATTTGTCCAGAGGCTCATTCCTCATAATCCTTGAGGCAAAGGCTGAAATCCAGGGTTTCTGATAACCCTGAATCATTGTGTGATCCGCCCTCCACAGGCCAGACAAACAGGTGACATTAGACCCCCAAGTGGCTGTTGTGACAGAAGGGAACATAACCCTGCAGCACTGGCTGTGTGAGTGGTGCATACGCCAAGGTCTCATCTCTCAGAGGGCAATGATCATTTTGCATATGCATGTGTGAGTTTGATTCGGTTCCAATTTGACCTAAAATTTGATGGAGACAGCTACGAGCTAACATTGAGAGGGGTTAACCATTTTCACCATATTTAGATTTTTATCTCAATACAGATTCCAAATTTTAAGAGAAAGGCATTTATAGAACAAACCCTCTTTCCAAATTCTTTTTCGTACAAATGGGGTCTGGTTATGTTGTCCAGGGTGGTCTTGAACTCCTGACCTCAAGCGATGTTTCCCTCCTGAACCTCCCAAAGGGCTAGGATTACAGGCATGAGCCCCCATGCTCAGCCCCTCCAAAACTTTTTAAGGAAAAGCACTATGGTTAAAAGTTATATCTACACCGTGTGTGTAGGTTAATACAGTTAACACTCTTAACAAAATATTTCTAGTAAAGAAAGCTTATCTACATATAAAAGCAAAATGTTAAGAACTTAAAAAATAATCCTCACAGTCTAACAGGCTCCTAGATGAGAAGATTTTCCTAATTTATTCTGAGTGCTATTAATTTTTACTTTCTTCATTGTCCTATCCTGGTATTTCTTTACTACAAGGTTAAACAGATCTACATAAAGGAACACCACCTGGATTTTTACCTGAAAAGAGGAGACTAGTTAAAATATTTTCATATACATTTCACATCACTAAAACATCATAAGTGGGTACGGGATTGCTAATGGCCGTCTTACTTCTGTTGATTAAAAATCTCAATTCTTCCCAACACATTGTTTTACAAATATTTGCAAAGTTAAAAATCTATACAAAGAGACACTCTTAACAAATTAGCATATTTGTACAGTTGTCTCTTGGTCCTCAGGGACTGACTCCCTCTAGCTAAAGATGCTTCTATGAAATGATTCAGTATTTGCATGTAACTTACGCATCCTCCTGTACACTTTAAATCATCTCCAGGTTACTTGTACTACCTAACGCAACATAAATGCTATGTAAATAGCTATTATGCTATATTTTAAAAATCTATATTTTTTATTGTCATTTTAAATTGGTTTTTGTTTTCAAATATTTTTGACCCACAGTTATTAATCTGTGGGTGTAGAGCCCACACGTACGGAGAGCGGATGATATATATGCCATGCATACAGGAAATAGGAAATGGCTCATTTTTTATTTGAAAGCTGAAGTCTTTGGCTTTCAGCCTGCCACTCAACACTCCCTAATGACATTTCCATCAAGAGCCGCACAGTAGGTCTGTTCCTGGTCACTGCACCTCTGCAGCCAGCTGTGCGATCAAGTCTTTGGCATCTTGCATGGTGGAGGGTATCTCTGAGCCATTCTGAGTCAGGTGGGTTCCAAACAAGAACATCTTCCTGTCATTTCCCACATCAGATAATGCCAGAGCTTCATGGATATCTGTAATGTGATAGGCTGTTTCAAGATCCTGCACCCAGAGGGAAAAAGAATAGGAAAAAGTTGGTTACTTTGAAATCCTTTTGTACTCTTATTCATTGCTCTCAGTGACTCCACCATTTAAATTTTTATTTATCTATTATTATTTGGCGGGGGCAGGTGGGGGGAAGCAAGAAAACATCTTGCTTTGTTGCCAGGGCATGAGGGCAGTGACATGACATAGCTAACTGCATGCTCAAGTTCCTGGGCTCAAGGGATCCTCCTGCCTCAGCCTCCCAAGTAGCTGGGACTCCAGATGCACACCACAACAGCTGGCTAATTTTTTTTTTTTTTTTGTAGAGATGGGCAACATCTCACTATGTTGCTCAGGCTGGTTTTGATCTCCTGAACTCAAGCAATCCTCCTGCCTTGGTCTCCCAAAGTGCCAAGATTACAGGTGTGAGCCACTGTGTATGGCCTGACACTACCATTTTTATAAAAAGGATATTGTGACCCATTATATGGCTCCAGACAATGTTTGAACAAAAGTATTTTCATTAGAATTATGCTCTAGCATTTATGAGTTATCAAAAAAAAGTATTTTCTGGAATGAAGATAAGCCAATGTAATACCTTTATTTTCTAAACAGTGCAGTTAATCTGTTTCTAATCTTGTTTTTCCATTTTCCTTTAAATTTTCCACCATCATTTTAAACAGGATAAATTATGTTCTGTTCTATTTAATAACAAAATCTGATTCATTACCTGTTTTTTGTCCAGGTCATATTTTACTGAGTAAAGCATTTGCCATTGTGAGTTTTCTTTTTCTTTTTCTTTCTTTCTTTCTTTTTTTTTTTTTTTTTGCAGTTTTTGGCTGGGGCTGGGTTTGAACCCACCACCTCCAGTATATGAGGCCGGCACCTTACTCCTTTGAGTCACAGGCGCCGCCCGTGAGTTTTCTTTTCTGCTTATTATTTCTACTGGACCAAAAAAAGGTGGATTGGCTGGGTATGCTGGCTCATGCCTATAATCCTAGCACTCTGGGAGGCTGAGGCAGGTGCAAGGGCAAGCCCCCATCTCTACTAAAAATAGAAAACCAGCCAGCCCTTGTGGTGGGTGAATGTAGTCCCAGGTACTTAGGAGACTGAGGCAAGAAGACACTTGGGCCCAGGACTTTGAGGTTGCTATGAGCTAGGCTGATGCCACTGCACTCTACTTGGGCAGCAGAGTGAGACTCTGTATCAAAAAAAAGGAATACAAAAAACAACCCGTATGTATACCATGTATATTTATTTAATGAAGTTCAACACACAGCTGTTGAATTCTTAGTAGGAGGAAGGCAGTATAGGTATTACAAGGAACACAGAGAATAATAATAGTCTCTACCCTGAAGAAGTTTATAATCTAATAAATATAAACTGAACCTATAGCATATTGCTCAATATATTGTTCAATCTAGCATATTATCCTATCAAAAGTAGACTTGTATTAATATACAAGTATATTGTATTAATAAAGATACTATTAGTATGATTTATATTTGCACATATTTTTACCTGTTTGTTTGCAAACACAACCAGAGGAAGAATGGGGTTTGCTCCAATTAGTTTATGAAGGTATTTCTTTGCTTCAGGTAATCGGTTATGATCTGCTGAGTCCACCACAAAGATCAGCAGCAAACCTCTGGACAGGTACATTTCCCAATAGGAACGGAAAGGCTCACTGCCACCAACTACAGAGGACAGTAAAGGGAGAAGACAAAAAAAAAAAAAAAGAAAAAAAAATCACAGAAGTGTCCACTGAGGGAGCAGGCAGGGCACATCTGAATTTCTGAACATTGGACAGGTGGTGTGATACAATCAGAGTGTATCTGATTCCAAAAGGGACTGGTGGAAATTGACACACACATTTGTTTATGCACGAGACAGAAAACCAATTTCATTACTTTTCCTGTTTCCCTCCACCATGTATTGAATGGTCTCTCCTTTCCCAGCGGAATCTCTCGTCTATTCATGTGGTCACTTTGGTCCTCCTTGTGCCAACAACACATAAGCTTAATGTTATAGCTTTATAATAAGATCTGACATTTGACAGGACAAGTCTGCCTTTCTTATTTATCTCTTATTTATCTCTTCTTGGCTTTCTTCACATCTTTAATGTTCTACGAAAACTTTAGATGCAGTTTGTCAATTTTTAAAAATTTTATTGTGTTTTTTTGGGAATTGAATTGTATCTAAACATCAATTTGGGGAGAATTAATATCTTTTTGATGTAATATCCACCTACCCATGAGAATGGTATTATGTCTCCATATTTTTAGGTCTTCTTTCAATGGTTTTCAATGATATCTACAAATTTTCTTCATATAGACAGGCACATCTTTGGTAGATTTATTTCCATGTAAACTATATCTTTATTGCTATTGAAACATGGTTATCTTTTAAAAAAGTATATTACCATATGTTGGTAATTATACAGATGTAATTAATTTTCTTTTCTAGAGATGAGGTTTCACTCTGTCATCCCGCCTAGAGTATAGTGGTGTGAGCAGAGCTCATTGCAACCCCAAATTCCAGGGCTCAAGCATTCCTCCTGCCTCAGCTTCCCAAGTAAGCTGGAAAAACTATCCGGGCATTGTGCTGGGCACCTGTAGTCCCAGCTACTTGGGAGGCTGAGGCAAGAGGATTGCTTGAGCCCAAGAGATTGAGGTTGCTATGAGCTATGACATCACAGCGCTCAAATAAAAATAAAAAATAAAATCATTTGGGAGGCTAAGATAGGTGGATTGCCTGAGCTCACAGGTTTGAGACCAACCTGAGCCAGAGCGAGACCGCATCTCTAAAAATAGCCAAGCATTGTGGTGGGTGCCTGTAGTCCCAGCCCCTTGGGAGGCTGAGGCAAGAGAATCACTTAAGCCCAGTAGTCTGAGATTGCTGTGAACTATGACCCCACAGCACTCTACTTAACTGCTATGTAGTCAGAGAACATGGTTCATATCATGCTTTGTGGAATTTGTTAAGACTGCTTTATTGCCCAGTATGCAGTGATTTTTGGTAAATGTTTCATGAATATTTAAGAATGTGTTTTTTAGCTCTGGATGTAGAAATTTTTTTTTTCTTTTTGAGACAGTCTATGTCGCCCTCTGTAGAATGCCATTGCATCACAGCTCACAGCAACTTCAAACTGTTGGGCTTAAGCGATTCTCTTGCCTCAGCCTCCCAAGTAGCTAGGACTACAGACACCGGCTACAATGCCTGGCTATTTTTTGGTTCTAGTTATTATTGTTGTTTGGCAGGCCTGGGCTGGTTTCAAACCTACCAGTTCTGGAGTATGTGGTTGGAGCCCTAGCTGCTGAGCTACAGGTGCCAAACCTGGATGTAGAATTCTATCTTGTCAATTCTATCAAACTAGTTAGTTATGTTCAAATTTTGCATATCTTTGCTGAAATTTTTCTTCTCTATCCTCTCAATAACAAAGACTTATTGAAATCACTCACTCGAATGGTAGATCTGTCCATTTCTCCCCACAATTCAATCCTCTCTTTTTCCTTCCTTTCTTTTCTTCTTTCTTCATTCTTCATTTTTAACTTTTTATATTTTGAGACTATATTCTTAGCTGTATATTTGGTAAAAAATATTTGCTCTTTATCTTCTGGGCCAGTTGAAACCTCTTTCCCTAATAGTGCTTTTATCTTAATGATTGGCCTATAAGTTTGCAAGTTTTCTTGCCCACTATTTTCTCTTATAAATTGAAGAGACATTCTACTGTCTTCTAGATGACCTTGTTACGATTGAGAAAATTGTTATCAGGTGAACTGACATCCCTGATCTTTTTTCTTTGGGTCTTTTTAAGGTATTTTTTTTTCTTCTTTGTGTTCTATAGTTTTACTTCAACATGTTTAGATATAAGATATCATCTATTTCATAGAAATTAAAAGATAAATCACACACACACCCCTTCCTGTGTATATTAATTCATGTTCTATCATTAGGTCTAGGAAGTTCTCAGCAGCTACCAAATACTATTCTCTGTTTTATTTTTTCCTTTTGGAATGCCTATCAGACAGATGTTCGACTCTCTCATTCTGTATTACTTGTATCTTAAACTTGCTTTCAGAGTTTCCATGTATTTTTCTATCTGTTCTAAAATCTTGGGTAAATTTTTATATTTATCTACTACCTCACTGATTTAACCTCTAGATGGGTCAAACTTAATCTGTCATTTGGTTTTTATCACAATAATTATATCTTCATTTAAAAAAATTATATTTGGTTTTTATTATAATAATTATATCTTCATTTTAAAAAATTATACCTGGTCATTTCTGAGTTTGTTTTTATGATTCCATCTTTCATAACTTATACTTTTTATTACTTTTGCTATTTCAGACATAGGTATTTTATATTCTGTATGTGATACTCTAATATATGAAAACCTTGAAATATAAATTTCCTGTTGTTTCTGATGATTCTCATTCGCTGTGACTTATTTTCTTACCTTTTGGGTAATTTTCTATTGCAAACTAAAATATGACTGATCTTAATTTGTAGGACTACTTGGGGCCCTATTTAGGGGTTCTTTGCTTCAGAATTAGAATCCGGGGGAGCTACTGACTTGGGGCCCTAGCCTCCTGTGAAAGTCTCAGCTAATGCTTCCTATTTTGTCCCAGGCCCATGCAGAATGTTGAATATGAACATTGGCATAGGCCTCAAGAAGTTACCACTTTTCTCCTTGCCTATCTATAATGGCTGCCACTCTGCTTTCAACTCATAAGTTACTTTATTTTTATTTTCTTTCTTCAGTGGGGAGGGAGAGGGTGGAAACAGAGCAGGCAGCCTTGAAGATCTTCCTTACTTCCTACAGGTTCATCAATGCTTTAAGAAATAGATTTTTAGGCCAGGTGAGGTGGCTGATGCCTGTAATGCCTCTGGGAGGCCCAGGCAGGTGGATCACTTGAGCTCAGGAGTTCAAGACCAGCCTGAGCAAGACTGAGACCCTGTCTCTAAAAATAGCCAGACACTGTGGCGGGCGCTTGTAGTCCCCACTACACAGGAGGCTGGGACAAGAACATCACTTGAGCCCAAGAGTTTGAAGTTGCTATGAGCTATGATGTCACGACACTTTACCAAGGGCAACAAAATGAGACTCTGTCTCAGAAAAAAAAGGGTTTTAAACAGGATCTTGCAGTGTTCTAGGAGGAAGGCTCTTTAAAGCTATTATGACATAAATTTAAGTCTCCCCATTCATGTTTACCACTGATTTTTAGTGCATAAGCCATAAGAATTTTTTAAAATATTAAAATGGTCTATAGAATGTTGATGGAGAGATATAATCAAAGTTATATGTGAATATATTATTTCTATAAATAGGCTTTTACAATAAAACTTTATTAATTTGTCTTCCATCTCCTCCCTATCCCTCAAAACACTCCCCACGTGTTATAATATAGCACGTTACCCAATATAGACCCTAGGGACACCACTGAATGCCACTGCATGCTGTGTCCTCAAAAAAGACTCCTTAGAAGCCCTTCCTTGTGGTATTAAGACAATTTATCTAACTTAATGGCTAAAATCTACCCACTGTACAGATAAAAATATTTTAAATCTAAAAAGTTACAAGCTTAAGCAGCTATTCTTCTTCAAGGTATTGAAGATTGTGACACAAATCTGGAATATGGTTGGCAGTTAATTCATTTTTGTTGAATATATACTACTTGGCAGTCATTGTTCAACAAAATAAGCATGGCAAAGGCTACTGTCTAGTTGGGCAGGCAGCTCATAAGTAAAAATTAAAAAGTTAATGTCATTAAAAACTTTATGGAGGAAGCAAACAGAGAGGAATGGGGGAATGGGTGGCACCTGTGGCTCAGTGAGTAGGGTGACAGCCCCATATACCGAGGGTGCCGAGTTTGAACCCAGCCCCAGCCAAACTGCAACAAAAACAAAATAGCCAGGTGTTGTGGCGGGTTCCTGTAGTCCCAGCTACTTGGGAGGCTGAGGCAAGAGAATCACCTAAGCCCAAGAGCTGGAGGTTGCTCTGAGCTGTGACACCACGGCAGTCTATTGAGGGTGACATAGTGAAATTCTGTGTCTAAAAAAAATAAATAAATGAAATAAGAATGAGGAACACATGTAGAAAGAATTATTTGACAGGACCATTTAAGCTAATACCAGTAAGTTGAGGAGCAAGTCATCTAGGGAAGGGCAGGGCGGGGGTGGTAAAAAGTATTTCCAATGGGAGGCACGCCCCAGAAGGCCCTTCACAAAAGCTAGAAAGGAAGGAGTGCAGTACGTCTGGAATTCCATGAGGAGGTTGAAGAGGAAGGAGTTTATGAAGGGACTTCTGGGCCATCACAAAGACTCTGGATTTTATCCCAAGCATGAGATCTCCATTAAAGAGTTTTAAGTCAGCAAACGATGTGCTTAAATACAGTGTTACAGTATTTCTCTTCATGAATGGGTGGAAGAAAAGATGAAAAGGTGACTGCAATAATTTAAGTAAGAAATGACGGTGTCTCTGACCCACTTGGGAGCAGTGGAAAAGGATCCCAGATAGGCTTTGCAGACTGAAAAATTCAGTATCTTACTTGTGGACTGAAGGTGGGGACAGAAGGAGGAATCGAGAGGGACTTTTAGTTCTCTGGCTGGAGCAACTTGATGGTTGTGGAGCCATTTATTGACCAGAGTATTATAGGGAGAGGAACAGATATGGGAAAAAATAAATATTTTGTTTGAACCATGTTAGGTTTGAGAGGCCAATAGAAATTTAGGCGGAGCTATCAGGGGACATTTGTGTATGTTTGGGTTAGATAGATACATTTGGGAGTCATTAGCACATAGATGGCATTTAATGCCTTGAGGATGAATGAAACCATCCAAGGAGAGAGTGTAAAGAGAAGACTAAAGGCCTTTGGGTTTCAGCAACAGTTAGGCAGGTGGTAACTCCAGAATCACTATGCAATAGGGGCTTCTGGACTGCCCTCTAGTTACAAGAGGAGATTTGGGACTCATCTATAATCCTAGTACTAGTACTTACACTGCATGGTTTATTTGCCACAGTGCAGGAAGGAGGCTGATTGCAGGAGATTATATGAGGGAGGCAAAAGCCTTCCTTTAAATTCCCTGTATCACCACTGCCAAAAGGAGCAAATAAAAAAACCATACCACGCTTCCCCCCATAGTACATCCTTGTATTAAACTACACACATGTTCTAAAAGTCTAGGAGAATCTGATCCAGCGTGATTTTCCACAAGGACCCAGTACTGATAACATCCTGATGGCTTAAGATATAATGAACCGTGGCTGCCTTATAACTAATGAGGATGAGCTTACTCTCCAGGAACTCCATCTGACTGTCTTCGATGTCGATACAAACTGCATTGAAACCTTGGGTGGGTGCCTCACTGTGCTGGACTCTGTTTGAGGCTAGAGAGTAGAGGACACTGGTTTTTCCTGCTCCATCCAGGCCCAGCACTAGGATCTGCTTATTTTTTTCCTGTGAAACGAAAGATAAACCAATAAACCTTTGCTCTCCGGGTCTTGTTTTCCCGGCTCCTGGCCTGCTGAAGTCCAATAACATTCTTGAAATTGTGAATAAAATTTCACAAATATTTCATAAGTCTAGAACAAACTATATCAATCAGTTAATATTTTCTAATTACCCATGAGTTATGTGATATTAATTTCATATTCCTTCTCCATCCTCCAATTCCTAGTCAAATATATATATACACATATGTATATGTATATATATTAGTATTTATAGGAGAAGCCATAGATCACAGGGCTTATTTTCAGACTTTGTTTTGCTTGTTGAGTTCATGGCCATTGAAGATTGTACCAGCATTCAGTATATTGCTGAGAGTCTAGGGACCTCCATGGTGCATGCATATAGATAGCATTACTCAGCACATAAGAATCTAAGGCTGAAGCTTGTGAGCCATGAGAGAATCTTAGGTGTGCCACAACAATTTTTAAAGATCATTAATTAGGCTCGGCGCCGGTAGCGCAGTGGTTATGGCACCGGCCACATGCACCGAGGGTGGTGGGTTTGAACCTGGCCCAGGCCAGCTAAACAACAATAACAACTGCAACAAAAAAATACAGCTGAGCATTGTGGCAGGTGCCTGTAGTCCCAGCTACTTGGGAGGCTGAAGCAAAGGAATCGCTTAAGCCCAAGAGTTGGAGGTTGCTGTGAGCTGTGACACCACAGCACTCTATCGAGGGCAACAGCTTGAGATTCTGTCTCAAAAAAAAAAAAAAGATGATTAGTTAAGTTGTTTTTGAATGAAGTTCAAAACACAGTAAGTATATTCTCTTTTTAACTCTTTTTTTTTGGTCGACATAATTTTTGTGTGCTGGAGAAGTTTAACTACAGGTTCAAGTGTGCCCTGAGATAGAAAAAAGGTTGAAAAACACTAATCTAAGACCTCACAGTATTATTAATGTCTCTTCTCTTCACCACTGACCAACTAGATGATAAGATCTTAGGGCCAGGCACCACTCTTATACTTTTAATATAAGTATCATGATGAAGTGAAAAGGCTGAGGTTACAGAAATTGTTAAATGGGTTCCAATCACCAGTGAGTACTTGTTTTAAAACCTGATGAAGTGAAAGTGAGCTTAGAAAGAAGTATTCTACTAACATATCGGCCTTAAAAATTTTATGGCAAATGATTGAAGGACTAGAAGGGAATGCCAGGCCAGGGGAGGTGGTCCATGACTCTAATCCTCCCACTCTGTGAGGCTGAGGCAGGTGGATTGCTTGAGCTAAGGAACTCGAGACCAGTCTGAGCAAGAGTGAAACTCTGGCTCTAAAAAAATAGCCAGGCAGTATGGCAGGCTCCTGTTCCTAGCTGCTTGGGAAGCTATGGCAAGAGAATCACTTGAGCCCAAGAGTTTGAGGTTGCTGTGAGCTATGATGCCAGAGGACTCTAGCCTGGGCAACAGAGTGACACTCTGTCTCAAAAAAAGAGAAAAAGAAGGTTTGAAGTGCTCAGAAATGTGGCTTCTACGGTGCAAATTTTAATGAAAATAGTAAATGAGCACCAATACAGCCCACCACATTTCATTAATTCTAAGATGCATATTTGTCTCCATACTTTCAAATCTCTGAAACCAGGATGTTTTACAATCACATGTGCCATATGTTGATTGGCAGCCTAATTTTCCTTTCTTAGTCGTACCTAAAATAATGGCATCTGAGATCCTATGAAATACTGTGAGTTAAAAACCATTCCCTACTCCCTATCCAAACATATTGCTGCCCCAACCCCATCCCACCTAGAAATTCTGCACTCACCCACGCTTTACATTTGATTTATATTTTTAGTCTAAAACACATCCTTCCTCGTGTTTATCATTTCCTAAGAAAAGCTGAGATTGGTTCGGCGCCTGTAGCACAGTGGTTACGGCGCCAGCCACATAGACCAAGGGTGGCAGGTTAGAACCTGGCCCCGGCCAGCTAAACAAAAATGACAGTTGCAACAAAAAACTAGCCAGGTGTTGTGGTGGGAGCCTGTAGTCCCAGCTACTTGGGAGGCTGAGGCAAGAGAATTGCTTGAACCCAAGAGTTTGAGGTTGCTGTGGGTGATGATGCCAGGGCAATCTACCCAGGGAAATAGCTTGAGACTCTGTCTCAAAAAATAAAGGTAGGGCACCAGCCCCATATGCTGGAGGTGGCAGGTTCAAACCCAGCCCCAGCCAAAAACTGCAAAAAAAAAAAAAAAAAAAAAAAAAGAAAAAGAAAAAGAAAAGCTGAGATTATCGTAAATCAAGTGTTGAGACACCAAATGTAATTCTCAATACCACTGTTCTATGTCTAAAGTTATTCCTCTAGTCACACAGGTAATCTGTGTTTTAACAGAGATCAAATCTATAAATCATTCAAATTGTTTAGAACCCAAAAGCAGCTTTGTGCCAAGCTGGCCCAGGAACTCTTTTTTTTTTTTGAGACAGAGTCTCAAGCTGTCACCCTGGGTAGAGTGCTGTGGCATCACAGCTGAAAGCAACCTCCAACTCCTGGGCTCAAGTGAGTCTCCTGCCTCCGCCTCCCAAGTAGCTGAGACCATAGGTGCCCACCACAGTGCCTGGCTATTTTTAGGTTGCAGCCATCCTTGTTTGGCTGCCCGGGCAGGATTTGAATCCACCACCTCAGGTGTATGTGGCTGGTGCCCTACCCACTTGAGCCACAAGTGCGGAGCAAGGCCCAGGAACTCTTAAGAGCACAGAGGTCATGGAGCTGGTCCAAATGTTGCCCTATCTGGGCACTGGTGGTCTGAAAACAATGCCAACCACAGTATTGGTGGAAAGGAGCCAGAGAGCCTGAAAACACATCCTGTATGATCACAGGGACATTTGCACTAGAATGTTTATTGCAGCTCAATTCACAATCACTAAGATGTGTTAGCAATCCTAGTGCCCATCAGCTCATGAATGGATTAACAAACTGTGATACATGTATACCATGGAGTACTATTCAGCCATAAAAAGATGAACACTTTACATGTTTTGTATTTACCTGGATGGAGCTGAAGCACATTCTTCTTAGTAAATTATCACAAGAAAGGAAAAGTGAGTTAAGTATCCAAAATACTCAACAATAACATGGAAGCAATATATAGAGAACTACATGCCCACAGTGAAGAAAAACACAAATATATTGTAGTGAGAGGGAAGGGAGGGCAAGGGGAGAAGGGAGGGGTGGTTGGCAAGTTCTCGCCTAAGGCGCAAAGGAAGGGCGTACAGCACACCCCCGGGAAGGGCTCAACTACAACTTCGCCTTAGAAACAAAACAACAAAACTAAACATTTGTACCCTCATATCAATTTGAAATAAAAAATTAAATTTAGAAACACACATCTTGCATAAATTCAGGAACGCGGCCCCTTTTGACAAAGAAGGGGAGGGTCGGGGGCTAGTTTCTAAGGATTGTCAGGGAGCTTGTGCTCTGCGGTTGAGCGCTGGGCAGATTCAGGGGCAAAGGCCGTTCCCACTGAGATCCCTCGTTCCTTGGCACTAGCGTCTGGAGGGTTAGGACAGAGACAGGGCCGGTGCTAGAGTGTGCGGGGTCGGGGAAGGGGCCGGCGATGGGCGGCTCCGGGCTTGGCACAGGTGCCACCCGTCTGCGCGCGCGGCCGGCCGCAGACGTCACAGAGCCGGGCTCCGGCCCGACGCCCGGTGGCCGCGGCCGAGGGTCCCGGGCACCGCCGCTTACCGGAGGATTGAGCTGGGTCAGCGTCAAGGCGCTAATGTTCATCTTTTCCTCCTCCTCTTCCTCGTCGGGGGGTGGTTCCCGTTCTTTCTTTGTCTCCTCCCTTTTCTCTCGACTCTTTTTATCCTCCTTTTTCTTACCCTTCTCCTCCTTCCCTTTCTCCCTCTCCTCCTCTTTTTCCTTAATCAACTCCCCCGCCGACTTCCTTCTCTCTTCCTTTCCTTTCCCCCTGATTTTGTCCTTCTCGGGTTCCTTGCCCTTCTCCTTCTTCACTTTGCCCCTCTCCATCCTTGCTGTTTTTTCCCTCCCCCCGCGCGCCCCCGCGCAGCCCTGGGTCCAGCAGATGTGGCTCCCGCGGCGACGCGCGGGGGACGTAGAGCCGCGTGGCGTACACGGCACCCGCGGTCACTGCCAGCCCGACGCACACGGACGGCGGCCCGCGTCTCCCCGGCTGAGCAGCCGGCTCTGAACCGGAGGAGTCTGGGAGCATTTGTCTCGGAAAGCGGATCACCCAGTAGGAGAAGCGCTCCTAGGCGTCTCCTGCTAGAGGGCGCGCGACAGGACAGCGGACGACCTTAAGAGTCTGACTTCTCCGGCTTCAATCCGAAGCCAGCTCCGCCGACGTGTCGCTGACCTGGAGTCCTTGGGACGCCGGAACCCTGAAAGCCCCCAAATTTCCCTCCTTCCTATAGCTAGCAACCTTGAGCCTGGAAAGCAAGGTCATGTACCTTCCTCCTCTGTCTCGTGTAAGCTCCCCTAGGAGTGTCCAAGGCTGCTACCCAGAATTGCTGGTTAAGGATAAATTGAAGAACATGGATGGGATAGGTTGTTTAGAATTTGTCGTATTTCCTTTTTAAAAAATTCTTTGGAGAGTAAGAAGACTGACAAAATCATAGCTGCCAATAATGCCAGGTATTAAAACCCAAACTAAACAAAACAGCTTGGTCATCTGTAATAATCTAATATGTAGCAAACGAGGCGCCACGGGGAGCTTTTCAAAGGTGTAATGTTTCTTAAACTAGTTGAGAAGCATCTGCACCGTTCTTTTTATTATCTTGTTAAGCTTAACTCTTTTTTT